GTGGGTGGGCATGCAAAGCTTCATCTGTATTTACAACCACTCCCCATCACTTGCATAAGCTCCGTCTCCTGTCAGATCAGCGGTGGCATTAGATTCTCATAGGAGCGCTAACCCTACTGTAACCTGCACATGGAAGGGATCTAGGTTGTGTGCTCCTTATGAGAATCTAATGCCTGATGATCTGAGGCAGTGATGCTAGCGCTAGGGAGCGGCAGCAAATACAGATCATCATTAGCAGAGAGGTTTGACTGTACAATAAATGTAATATGCTTGAATTATCCCAAAACTGTCTTCTCTCCCCATCCCCCCATCCAGTCCGTGGAAAAATTGTCTTCCATGAAATGGTCCCTGGTGCCACAAAAGGTTGGGGACCAGGTTATAGAACCCTAGAATTTACTCCTCCTATCCACCTGTAATTTTGTATCCATTAACCAACCTTTCTCTACCCTCCCCCTCCCTTCTCTACCTTTTCTGGCTACAATTATACTCTGTTTCTATGAGCTCAATTTCTTTTTTAGCTCCCACATGAGTGAGAACATGTGATATTAATCTTTTTGTGCCTGAATTATTTCATTTTAACATAGTGTCCTCCATGCTCATCCATGTTGCTGCAAATGACAGAATTTCATTCTTTTTTATGGCTGAGTAGTATTCTGTTGTGTATCTATGCATTTTCTTTATTCATCTGTTGATGGACACTTAGGTTGATTCCATATCTTGTCTATTATAAATAGTGCTGCAGTAAACATGGGAGTGCACGTATCTCTTCGTTTGGATAAATACCCAATAGTAAGATTACTGGTTGTATGGTAGTGCTGTTTTCAGTTTTTGGAGAAACTTTCACTGTTTTCGATAATGGCTATACTAATTTACATTTCCACCACTATGTTAGACTATTACATAGGATTTAAGAAATTATAGTCATTTTGCTTTACTGATCTAAATTACATAATAAAAGAACGTGCTTCTCTTGATTAGGCTTATCATTCTTCTGAGATTAGTCCTTTCCTTTTCTTTACCTTTTCCTTCATGAAATTTTTTAAGTATATAGTGATATCATCTGAAAAAAATAACTTTATTTCTGTCTAATGGTGTAACTTCTTTCTTCTCTTATTGCATTAACTAAAATCTCCAGACAGTGTGAAACAATAGCATTGATAGCACATATCCTTATCTTGTTTGCCTTTAATAGCAATGCCTCTATTATTTCACTTTTAAGTGTGATGTTTGTTGTTTGTATTAGTTCCTTTTAAAATGTAAAATGTACAACAAAATTAAAAAACCTACATTTAGTATAAGACTGAAAACTTGCTATAAAACTATAATAATCAGGACAATATACTATTGGTTCAGGGATAGACAAATAGATCAGAAGAATAGAAATAAAGTTCAAAAATAGACCAGCACATATATATAGTTATGTGACTCCAGTGGCACCATAGCAATTCAATGACCAAAAAAAGGTGGTGTTTTCAATAAATTGTGGATATTCATAAGGAATAAAATGAGTCTTAGCCTCTATCTTACACAATATATAAAAACTAATTTGAGATGAATTATAGACCTAAATATCAAAAGAACAGTAAATGCTCTTTCAGAAAAAGAATATCTTCATAACCTTAAAATAGTCAAAGATTTATTGAAAAAGCCACAAAAAACACTAACCATTTTTTTTTAAATTGTTAAATTGGACTTTATTGAAATTAAGAACTTGTGTTCACCAAAAGATCTTATTAAGAGAGTGAAAAAGCAAGCTGTAAACCAGGAGAACATATTTATAATACATATTTCTAACCAAGGATTTTTATCTATAATATGTAAAGAACTACATAAACCAATAAAAACTGAGCAAAAGACTTGAACAGGAACTTCAAAAAAGAAGATACCTTAATGTACAATAAGTACATTAGTCATCAGAAAAATAACTTTTAAACCCGCAACATACTCTGCAGACCCAACTAAAATGGTTAAAATTTAAGACTAATAATACCAAGTGTTTGTGATAATGTGGAGCAACTGAAACTCTCATACATTGCTGATGGAAGTATAAATTGATAAAACTATTTTTGGGAAAATGTTTCATGCTTTCTACTAAAGCACAATTTACGTCTACCTTACAACTAAGGATCTATCCAAGAGGAATGCGTGCTAATACCCAGCACTCACCAAAGACATGTATTGGAGCCCCAAATTGGAAACAACCCATCAGTAGTAGAATGGGTAATAGATTTTGGTATATTTATATACTGCAATAAAAAATAACAAACTAATGCTGCATATAATGTGGATGAATCTCACAGACACAATATTGAATAAAAGAAGCCAGACACAGAAAAATACATATGGTACAATGCCATGTAGATGCGGTTTCAAGAGTAAGTGAAACCAATCATGGTGGTAGCCCTCAGTATTGGAGTTACCTCAAGATTTGGGGGAGGTAAGTTGGGTATTTACAAGAGAGATTTTTGGGGTGCTGGAATGTTCTCTATCTTGATGTGGATGGTGGGTACATAAGGGTGTGTACCATGGTAAAGATTCATCGATGTATATACAAATGTTAGACATTTTCATTGTACTGATATGCTTTAATTAAAAAAGTAAGATGTATATATAGGTACAGATTGGGTAAATAGACACTATATTTAGTCCTCATTTGTTGAAGATATTAAATTCATTAATTGAAGATAGTATTTTCATTATATTTGAGTCAATTTAAAACAAGTCCTCTACCAGAGATAAGTGAAGGGTTTTGACAAAGGAGAACCGCTTTGCCTTTAGTCTATTAATTGGACTTCAGAGTTCACAAAGTAGGGCCACAATAGAGAAAACCTGCCAAGGGTTGTCTGTGTCTTAGCCCAGAGAGGGAAATCATAGTGAATATGTTGAAAAGAAGCTTTAAAGCAAGTGATTCTTCAAAGATTAAAGTCCTTTTCCTCACAGTAATGTATGACACTTGATACGGTGTTGCCAGTGGGAATATGGTGCATTTGAGATGGTAGAAAGACTAAGAACACCTGCTCTGTAGCATTTTTTCATTGCCTTTAAAATGCATTGCTTTGCCTGCTTATTAGTAAGGGTCGCTGAACATTTGAACATGTATATCTCAGTAAAATTCAGTTATACCATCATTGTAGTTACAAGTTTAGTAAACTGGACTTTAGACATTTTTTCTATTCTTGTGGGATTGTGGGGGTCACAAACTAGTAAAGTAAAACTACTTTGGAAACCCTGTTCCATGATTAAGTTCGTTTGGTGAATACAGTGATCCCTCAGTATCTATGAAGGATTGGTTCCAGGACCCCATGCAGGTACCAAAATCTGGAGATACTCAAGTCCCTTGTATAAAATGGCACAGTATTTGCTTATATACTAACGCACATCCTCTTGTGTACTTTAGAGCATCACTAGATTATTTATAATACCTAATATAATATAAATGCTATGTAAATAGTTGTTATATTGTTTAGGGAATAATGACAAGAAAAAAGTCTCTACATATTAAGTTTAAATGCAGATTTTTTTTCCTGAATATATACCATCTGTGGTTGGATGAATCCATAGATGCAGAACCCATGGATATGGGTGACTGACTGTATTAATTTAAAAGTTTCTCAGATCATCAGTAAGCTTTTTTTTTTTCCAGTGAATGATAACACTGATAGTTAATTTCATGATTAGGTTTCTGTTCACTAATCAATATATGTTTGAAGAATTTCCTTTTTTAAAGGGGCAAAGCGTTTAGTGTACTTGTTTTACCATGTACTTATTTAGTGTACTTATTATAATACAGCTAGGTAGATTAACCCTTAATAGCACATGAGAAGTATCTTAAACTAGCCCTAGCTGAGTGAGGAAAGGTTGAGTGGAAAGAGTAAATAATAACTCCCATGGGCCAGAACAGGGGACCATCAGGAATCATCAGGGTCTTATGTAGCTTCAGATGAATGCAAAAGGGTTGTTCTTTGAAGAGTGTGCCTTCTTCACTTTCTGTCACAGATCTTATGGAACTGGAGTCATTATTCTGAGATACTCTTCAAGTGTTAATTCAGATCTAAGTACTTCCCTGGCTTTAGTCTCTTCTAGGAAAGGAGGAGAGGATATGCATTTAATGACCCTCTCAGTCCAGAGCCCTTACTGCTTTTGACTTTTGGCTTTTACTTCTCCCCTTGCACCTTCCTATATGTCCTCAATTTGGATTGCTCCAGTGAGGATAGTATTCTGTTCTTCCTTCCAGCGAATGCCAGTTGGACACTACCTTGTTTCCTTTTTAGTGTATTTCATTTTTATTAAGATAAACAAATAGTATTATTGCAATTCATTTAGTGGGAGGAATGTTAAGAAAGAAAAGGTAGTAAAATAAGTAAAATTGTTACAAGATTAAGGAAACACATGAGATGTATCTTTGCTAATTCCTAGGAACTCATTGAAAACCACTTCAATTAAGTAACCTATTAGGTTCAGAACTGAAATGTCTGAAAGACATAATCTGATTTGCCAATCACATGTTCATGTGCTCAAAGAAAGAATTCCTTTGTGTAACCTAAAAATGGCATAAACAGGACAAATGCTTGAAATAATGTGTATTTTAAGTTAGATCTAAGTAAGAACAAGAGAGCTGTGAAACATACTAATTAATTGAAGAACATGTTTGTAATATAACAAGATGTAAATTCCTTAGAATTAGGTTATGGCTACACATAGTGACAATGAAACACAGTAAAAAAGTATAGGGATGAAACTCAGCTTTTTGCTCTGAATAATGAAATTGAAAACAACTGTATTTGTTAACCAGAACAGTTTTTGACAGAGAACTTAAGATCTATCTACTATTGGTCCTATAGATGTCCCAATATTCTTTTTTAACTAGTATGTTAATATGTACACATTCAGGAAATATATTCCCAGGTCATAAGTATTTTCAGTGAAAACTTGTGGTGTTACTTACTGTTATATCAAGTTATGTTTTTCTTTTTTGATTTGTGTTTTTCCTTTTTCTCTAGGAAACTGACTGGACATTCTTTCCACATGGGCTATAGCATGGCAATTTTGAATGGCATTGTAGCTGCCCTTACTGTAGCATGGTGCCTCATGTAAACCCACAGTGAAGCAATATTGTTGGCAAAACTTAGTCACAATTGTGTTTTTTAATGACAAGAAAGAACATCATTGCCTACTCAGAAGATCAAGAAACCTGCTGTTCATTATGTGGTTCAGATATGTGTCATAATCATCATCATTATGGAGAACCTTGTAAAGCATTGTTCTAGAGTCTAGACATTGGGAATACCTGAATATTAAGTTTTAAGTACTTTTTTAAAAGTGTAAGGTGTTTACCTCATCTTTTTACTTTTATATGTGTAGTTCTTAAAAATTGTAGAAAACATTTTAATGGAAATCAAACTCAAAAACTTGAATACAGGACAATGCCTACCTTTCCATGTATGTATTACATTTTTTGCTAAGATACTGATATTACTGTTTAATTGCGATACGAATATTTATACGTTAGCAAAGCAAATAATGCCTACTATGCCAACATTTTATAGCAGCTACTTTTAAATCAAAATATTTAGTTTTTGATATTCATAGAATTAATGGAAGGTGCATTTATTTTTTTTATGGGGCATAGTCCCTTATGCGTTTTTTTAAACATATTTTCCTACTATATATTGAATTTGTATGTTTTTAAGATTATTACATCTAGACAACTGTAAATGATATTTCTTGGTGGTGCAAACCTAATACCTGTCTTTAAGAAAAAGCAAAAAAGCACATTGACCTAAGGTTAAAATTGAATATTTTTAACAAAAAAAATGACTGAAAAAGGTGAATTACGTAAGTCATTAAAATATTGAGAAATTTGAAGCTGTTCACTGTATCTGTTTTCACAAGTCCAGATATTTGTCTTGGTATATATATTGTTACTTCAACAGAACTTATTTTGTTTTTAATAAATATAAACCTGGAATTTTTATATGTAGAAATGTTTGAACTAGTTTGTTCTTAATCTCAAAAATTTAGTTACCAAACTAAAAAAGGTATTTTGATACTATATATATAATAAAACTGATATATATAAAATACTACATATAATTTATATAGTTTTATAATTTTCCTGTTTAAATGTTCTTCTATAATTGTAGTGTTAGTTTTTATTTTCTTAGTAATTAAGCCTTAATTGTTCCCCACCATTACTACAAACCTTAAGTGTTTAGAAAATCACCTCAATTTTAAAAGGATGGACTATTTACAAAGCTGTTTTCCCTGGCCATAGAAAAACTTACATTAGAAAACCATTGTGTAATCAAACTGCTTATTCAGGCTTATTGGGAAATGAATATGTGCAGTGTGTTCCCCTGAATGTTATTACTGAGTAAATGAGGTTTCTAAAAGTCTATAACATTTTTTTACTATTCAAAAATCTTTCAGTTGGAAATGACTAATGCTGCTCCAGTTATTTGAAGTGTTTAGACTAGTGTGTAGGTGTGTGTGTATGTGTATGTATATGTATATATATGTCTAAATATCAATTCCATAGCTTAAGTATTCTTACCAGAGTGGTGGTTGCAATGAATCTCTTTTCATTCCCTGCCTTCCTGCCTGCCCACCCCCTTTGACTCTAAAGGCTCTTCTGTTGCAAAGAAATGTACAAGTAACAAAATCAGTTTATCTCTTCTCCACTCCTCCAGGCCTTCACCCCCCAAACCCCACCAATTTAGATAGCTCCTTCCAGATTCTTTGTGTCTAATGACTAAGAAAGTTATTACAGTAGACTCTAGAGATACATGTGTGTATGTACAGTCACATGCCACATAATGGTATTTCAGTCACAGCAGATTGCATATATGATGGTGGTCCCATAAGATTACAATACCATGTTTTTCTGTACTTTTTCTGTGTTTAGATATGTTTAGATGCACAGATACTTGCCACTGTGTTATGACTGCCAACAATATTCAATACAGTAACGTGCTGTACAGGTTTTCAGTCTAGGAGCAATAGGCTATAGGGTGGGGAACCTGTGGCCTTCTAGGAAGGTGTGGCCTTTTGACTGAATCTAAATTTTACAGAACAAATCCTTTTATTAAATGGAGTGCAGCAGAGAAAGATGAAGCTTTTCTTGTCTCCTTTGATGCTTAAAAAAGAACAATCTTGAAATCAGAAGGCTGCAGGTTCCCCACCTATAGGTAGTAGGCTCTACCATCTAGGTTTATGTAAGTACACTCTATGGTGTTCATATGACAATGAAATCGCCTAATGACACATTTCTCCGAATGTATCCCTGTTGGTAAGCAACGCATAAATATGTATCTCTACAAACTATTGTATATATTTAATAATGTAGATACATATAGAGATATATATCTGTAAGATATTTTTCTGGAACCCTATTTCTTTTGGACTAGTACTCCCCCTTTTTGAGAAGTTGCCCTTCATCCTTATCCGCAGGGGATTGGTTCCAGGACCCCCATAGATACCAAAATTCGTGGATGCTCAAGTTTCTTATATAAAATGGCATATTTGCATATAACCTACACACATCTTCAGTGTGTTTTAAATCATCTCTAGATAACTTATAATACCTAATACAATGTCAATACTGTGAAAATAGTTGTTACATTATATTTTGTTTTTATTTGTATTATTTTTTATTGGTGTATTGTTACTTTTACTGTTTTTTTTTTTTTCCCCAAATATTTTCCGTGGTTGGTTGAATCCCAGGGTTCTGGAGGGCCAACTGTATGTATCTGTGGTGGGGGGGATAGTCACGTTGTTTATTAAATCATAAAGGAAATGAATAGAATTAAAATAGGCTTGTGCAAATTCCCAAAATGTAAGAAAAATAAAGGATCCTTAGATCGCATAGTAGTAGTTATAGAAGAAAAAAATTCCTCAGCGCATTGCAAACTTAAGAAATAGCGTTTCTACCTAGAGGTAGAATGGGCTAAAAGTCTAGATAGCTTCGATAAAGGTTTATAGAACCATGAATGATAAATGCTGCAGCTTTTGAAGATGGAATGCTTTAGAGAAATAATTAATCTTAGGGGAAAAATGTTCTGGAAAGTAATGAAGAGTTGTTTTATGTTAGCTCTATGAAGAGTACTGAAATGGATGAGCTATTGGTTTCTGACATTTACCCCAGCAGCCTTTGCTTTCTGACATAACTTAATAACACTGTTGCCTCATCGTCTCTTCCAGCTCCGTACTCCCTCCCAGGTCTTCCCTGGGATTTTCTATTCTCAGAAATCCACTTTGTGTTACACTGACTTGTATGGAATTACCTGTGGAGATGGGCCTATCCTGGACTCACTGAGCTCATATTTTCCTTCTTTTTAGAGAGACTGCAAGACCACCCACTTGGTGGCGTTGGATCAGCTCCAGAATGGACCTGGATATTCAGTTCAGTATAATTAAGACAGGGAAAACATGAATTCCTAAGAGAAGTTCAAAAGCAAAAACAAAATCCTGACTCCCCCAAAACACTTGTAGGTGTTTGCTGCTGAAATTTTTGCTTTTTTAAAAAAAATTTTCATCTTAAAATATGTGAGCACAATTTTATGTTTCAAAAAGATAGTACTTTATATATCTATGTCTATATTTTAGCTAGGTACCAAGAAAGTAATTACTACTTGTAGACAAATTATAATCAATTATAATTCTTAGTTATGTACAAATCTGCCTAAGGTGAAAGTATACTGAATCTAAAAACATAATGACAGTATAATTTTCCCTTTGCATTAAATACAGCTAGTGCTTATACTGTTGGATGGTATAAATTTCTATTGATGTAAAATATAAAGTGCATGACATTTATTCTACATCAGTTTTTATATAAAATTGTACTTTCAGATTGAGCAAATTTCCATTCGTATTCAGGTTCAGAGAAACAAAGTGGCAGTCATACTTAATTATCATGTAGCCATCCAATAAGAATATAATTTTATATAACTGATAGAATAAATTATTTTAATGTTTAACAACATAGCACGTTTTAATGTTTAATGTTTAAAAAGACCTACTAGAGTGACTCTCAGAAAAGTTTTCCTGAGAACCTTTTCTGATAAACAAATTTTTATACTTAGTCTCATGGTAGGTATGTAAGTCTATAGAGACAAACAAAAAGAATCATGGAAGTGTATTTTGTAAATCAAAATCATTAATAGTTCCTATTCATAAGTAATATGAAGCACAAAAAAATTTCCACAGACCGGAGATACCTTTTACAGCATGTAATTTGTTGTAGGAAATAATGAAAGTAAACTAAAAGACCAATAACGAATGGCACAGAAACACAATGGAATATTATGCACCATTTTAAAAAGAGATGGCTGTCAAAAGTAGTAACCTAGGAAATGTAATAACATTAAATAAAAAAGCAGGATGCAGAATTGTATGAAGCTGAATTTCAACTATATAAAATAACTACACAGAAAGAAAACATAAAGAACATTCATTGAAATAGACATTTTCTCTGGACAGTTAAATTATAGGTGATGTTAATTTTCTTCTTTACAGATGTTTACATTTTCTAAATTTGCCATAAATGTATATTTCATAAATAGAAAAATTATAGTATTTAAAAAATAGGAATAGTAATTAGCTGCTTATAATTCTCATGAGGATTAAATAAGATACTGGGTATGAAATTCTCTAGCACATACTGTTTCCTCAGAAATATAAGAGAGGCGGTGGCTTCCCTATCTAGCAATCAGAGTTGCTTTTTTATTATTGTCAGAAGAAAGTAAGAAAAATTCATCCCTGCATGCTGCATAGAATCAAATCCTGTATCTGTTTATACACATGTTCAGGGATGTCCATTGAAGAATTGTTTTAGTAGCAAATAGCAGGAAACAAATGATCATAACAGAAGATTGATTAAATACATTTTGTTTATCCATACAATGGACTACTAGGCAGTCATTAAAAAAATTAAGTAGATCTGTAGGCATTTAAAATGAAGATATTCATGATACAGCTGTAAGTGAAAGCTAAATTGCTAAACAGAAAGTATTGTATAATCCTGGCTTTGTCAAAGACTGAATAAAACCAGAAATTTTTATATTATATATACATGAATCTGATACAATACTCTTTTAAGGGGTAACAGGTGATATGACTGAATCTCTGATCTAAAAATCAGGAAAATATTAAAGTATCCAACTGTTTTTAGGATTTTAATATTTAAAAACATAACATTGTCCAGATGTTTTTACCTGTGGTATTGCAAGACACCAGTAATTTATTAAGAATAATAAAGTGTCTGTCAAGACTCTTGGGATTCAGATAAAAGAAATGCACTTGAGCTAATTTATTATATTAGATGCTGTGGAATCTCAGAAACAAAGGCTGACATGGAAAGCCTCTGGAATAGTCTCCCTGATCAAAGTGTTTTTGTATGCCTGAGGTCTTGGACCATGCTGTACAGTTTGACAAGGTAAGTTCATCCTAAGGATGTGACTTATGGTGAATACCTACCTATTTTTGTTATGGGGTGGGAGGGGCTCGAGCCTGTGTGACTGACCCCCAAGAAAAATCCTGGACCTCAAGGCTCAGGTGAGCTTCCCTGGTTGGCAAGACTTCATCCATGTTGTCACACATCATTGCTGGAAGAACTAAGCACGTCCTCATGCGACTCTGCTGGGAAAGGACGCCTGGGAGCTTGCATCTGCCTTCTCCCACACTTCACCTCTTGTGCCTTTCCCTTTACTGATTCTGATCTATATCCTTTCACCGTAATGTGTAACAGTGAGCACTTCTAACAAATCATCAAGCTTGAGGGTGGTCTCGGGGACCTCACACAGGAAGGAAATGAACATTTGTCAAAAGTGCAGTTACTCTTCTCTTCCTGGGACCTACATACGTGTGAAGCCATCCTTCTCCCAAACGACAAGTTATGCTTGACCCATATACCCCTGCCCACAGGTCCTTAATTGGAAGGGTGCTAGTGCTGGAAGGCGATTTAATCTAACCATCACAATCTATAAATGAGGAAATTAAGGCTGAGAAGTTCTTTTCAAGGACCTCTGTGCATCTGGATGTCAACCCATATCAGGTTAAGTTGATTCTTCTGTTATGTTCTTACCACAGGAGCCTAGAGTAATTCTTGGGCTGTGTAATTGTGCAAGGACAGTTTCACTTGCGGCTATTCTGTGGTAGCTCTGTGCTTATGTCTTGGGCTGCCTGGAGCCATGGTACTGACCCTTGATTAGCATGGGAATATGCCAGCTAGTGATTTCTAATGTAATGTGCACTTTGAAATCCAAAACTCCCCTGGAAGTATCCTGTACCAGCTTCTCCATGTCATTTATTGAAAATATATGGATTGATGGTTTTGATTTTGAGACTTGATCACACAGCCTTGTTTTTGCTATGTGATCCCTGCAGTATAAAAGACCCTTCGGTAAACTTATGCTTTCTGTATATTCGTTTCTTAAGGCTGCTGTAACAAATTATCACAAACTTGATGACTTAAAACAACAGAAATTTATTCTAACACAGTTCTGGAGGCCAGAAGCCCAAAATCAAGGTCCCAGCAGGGCCATGCTTCCTCCAAAGGTTCAAGGGGATTTTTCGTTTGTTTTTCAAGGAATATTTAATAAAAAGATAGATGACATGCTTATCTAACATGTAATTTTATGTCATGGCAGCTAAAGCAAAACATCCTGTTCATGGGTAAAAAGGACCTGCTTTTATGTGTGTGTACTTCAGTGCAATTTAAAAAATACTGTAATTATAATTTCAGAACTTCAGAATTTGAATAGGCGCCAATGTTCTCTCCTTTTTTTCATATGAGAAAAGAAAACCACTTGAAGCTTGGACAAAAATTTCACAGCTATCTTCCTCAGGATCACTTTGTAGAGTCTTGAAGGTTCAGATACAAAGGAAGCTTCAATTCAACCTTTCAGAGAAGACATTCCACCTCGCGTGATCTCATCAACCAAGAGAATGCTGGTGGCAATCACAGTGCAGGAGTGAAGAAGCTGTTTCTTTACACAATAGTTATCCCATACGCCTACTTCTCCTGCTACCATTGGCTCACCTGTGTTCAAGTCCACACCCACACGTTGACCTGATTCCGAATGTTCAGCCTGAATTTGAACTAACATTTCCTGAAGGTCAGAACCAAAGTTCTGAGCATGAACCTTGGGAATAACGAGCAAGGCATCAGCAAACACTTGGACTCTAAATTGGTCCCTGCCCTCTACATTGGGCTTGTATTTAATCAGGACTTCTGCCATTGCCACTTCTACTGCACCAGCACCTGGAACCACACAGCCGTCATCAACAGCATTTTTGACAGCCCTCAAGCTATCTCTTAATGCATCTTTGATTTGAGTGAGTGTGTGCTTATTAGGTCCTTTGACCAATAATGTGACAGAGTGAGGATTGTTACACTTATCAGCAAAGGTGAACTTCTCTTCTCCCAGTGTATACTCATAGACAAGTCTTATATGTCCCAGTCAAGATTTAGGTCATCAAAAGAGTTTAGAGCTACCCCACCACAAGCAAGAGTCAGCCTCTCCATATCTCTCCTTTCAGCTCTGCACAGAGCCACTATGTCTTTTTTTGCAAGAGCATCTAAGCAAAAGCGGTCAATTCCGTTTTGATTAATAACAACAAATCCTTTACCTCAGACTTTCTTTTTCAGTTCTATGATTTTTTTTTTATCTCTGTCTTCAATGAATTTTCTTTTACCTTTGACTAGTTTTTCTCTGTCTTCTGCACTCTCATAAAAAAAAGCCAGAGTTCACTTCTGTTTTTTCATTTTCTAGTGATGACACGTTGCATGTGAGGATGTACGCATCTGCTACTCTTTTCTTCAAATCAGGATAACGGGCTCCATGATCCAAAACAAGCCTTCTGATTAAGCTTCTGTCAGTTTCAGATTTATGTTTCATCTCCATTGACCTCCATGAAGAGGTCAATAGGTTCACCTTGTTTTTTAATGGCCAAAATGGAGTCCACTACAGCCTCTGTTAAGACATCTGCAAGTTCAGCATGAACTTGAGTGCCAAGAGATGTTCTGGCCACATCTGTGTTTCCCTGTCCATCTCTCTGCTTACTTTGACTGGTTCCAAAAAGTGAAGGACCTTTTCCTTTGCAGCTTCAAATCCTTCAGTGGTTATTCTAGGATGAAGACCCTTTTAATACAATCGAGGAAACATAATGTGCTGGCTTTCTGAATACATCTAAAAGGATAAATATTCCTTTCAATGCAGAGGAAAAGAACAGTCATTGCTCCAGCAGAGTGTCAAGCCAAGGGAACTATAAAGCTCCCTTGGGTGTTCACTGTACAATCATGGGGAGAATTCTTCCTTGCCTCCTCCAGCTTCTGGTGGCTTCTGGCATTCCTTGGATTGTAGATGCATTGTTCCAATCTCTGCTTCTGTCGTCACATCATAGTCTCCTCTGTGTGTCCTTTTCTGTCTCTTGTAAAAATATCCTCATTGAATTTAGGGCCCAGCCTAATCCAATATGATCTCGTCTTAATCCTTACTTAGTTACATTTGCAAAAATCCTATTTCTAAATAAGATCACATTTGCGGTTCTGAGTTTTGGGGGCGGTATGTTCAACCCACTACACTCGGCTTTCCTGAGACCGAGATTTCTTGCCCATGTTTTGGTGGTTTGCATCCTGGAGATGAAGAACATTTCTGTGATTGAGAGGATCTGAAACCACACCTGGATGTTCCGATGTTCCTCATGTTTTCCTTCACTTTCTTGCTCCTGCTACCATGTATGCTTTCTTCGCCTGTTATAAATATTTCATAAGTTTACCTTGTTAGAGTCCCATAAGTCCTTTCAATTTTTCTACCCAGTATAAATTGTTGCAGTTTTGTTTTTATCACTCTTGATTTTTTATTTTCTAATGAAGTAGTCTTTATTTGGAATCTTTCTTGTTCTGGTAGAAAAAGCATTTGGTTGTAGATCGTGAAACCTATTGCTGATCCTAGTTATAACACAGAAGGCAAGTGACATTCAGCAAATCATTTGAACTTCAGGTTTCTGAGCTAAAAAGTACTTTATATGTGCCTAAATGATTTTTGACATCCCATCCTGGTTCAGTCTGGGTACCCTGAGAGCCGATGCCAAGACAGAATTAGAAATACAAGAAATTTATTGGAGGGAAATGCATATGAAAGTTAAAGCGGTGAGGGAGCCGAAGTAAGCAGAGAGCGCTGCAGTCTGACCCATGTGAAAGAGGAGGGGAAAGGAATTAGAATTCATCAGTAAAAACCTCAGACTTCAGCACAGCTTTGACGAAGTCTCAGCAACAAAGATTGGAGAGTCCCAGAACAAAGATTGCCCATTAGAAGAGTTCTGCATTGGGCGGCAATGGCCTGGCTTAAATACCCCCGATGTATAATCATTAGCTAGAGCAGCCCAGGAACAGTGTGGCCTCAGCACGAACACTGAAGCATCCCAAAGTTAGCTGGTGGGAATCAGCTAACTACACATCTCACAGAAGGTTCTATCCTTAAGGAAATACTGAATGGCATACCTCTAGGACTGCTACAGTTCCAAGATATAAAATTCTGAGATTATGATTCCTCTTTTTCATGAGTGAGAGAGAGGGAGAGAGAGAGAGGAAAAGAATTGTCCTCAATTTCAATCATTCTCACTCTCAATTTGAACTCCATAGGCCAGATTTGCTGGGAAGCTGTGTTGTGAGAGTCCCTGCTTGCTTCAACCTGAACCTTCCCATGTGATGTAGATTTATTTTTCTTCTCTCTCATACTCCTATCCTGTCACTTTGAAACTCTGTCCAACACCTCCCTTTCTTTTCTTCTACTAGCAATATGATAGGTAACCCTGTGAAGGTTAGCAGCACCATTTCATCTTCTGTTTTTATAAAGGAGTGCGTCTCAACCTTGGCTGTACATTAGAATCATCTGGGGAGCTTAAAAAATGTCCAATGCCCAGGACATACACCAGACCAAGAAAATCAGAATTCCCGGGGGGTAGGACCAGGCATAAATATGTTTTAAGGCTGTGCAGATGATCCAATGGGCAGGGCAAGGTTAGAAGCTCTGCTGCAGAGGCTCATAGCCCAGGGGAAAGTCAATGCACAGGCTAGATTAATAAAAACACCTTGGCAGCAATATATCTTTTTTTTTTCTTTTAAAGAGACACATAACTATTTCTCTTGCTTGCTTTTTGAATTAGAAATAGGGGGCACTAATTTTATTCAATAAGGGCAACACAAAGTTCTTACAAACTGTCTTCCACTGTTTGTCATTTCAGAGTCTGCCATGCAACATATTCATAACTTCATTCTTTTTTTCTGACCCATTAAATTATTATTTTTTGATGTTTTGTGTTTAAGGGAAGTTATTTTTCAATAGCAATGAAGTTTTTTGATCTTTTTGAGACAGAATTGATTTCGATAATGCTTTTGTGTGGTTGTAGTGGTAGTCCTAGTGTAAGAGCTGCATTAAAGTAGTTTTTCAAGCAATGTTGGACAGGTTTAGATGGGACTCGTTTGTTCAGTTTTATGCTATCTAGATGAGATCACTGCTATCAGAAAAGACACACTTACATTCATTGATCTTCATTCAGTAAACAGGTATTTATTGTGAGACACACTTATATTCATTGATTTTCATTCAGTAAACAGGCATTATTTCATTCAGTAAACTATGCAGTGGGTACTGTGCTTGGGATTAGTCGTGCAAAGATGAGTAAAAGAGGTTGGGTCTATAAATGTGGAGATGGTTAATGAATTTAGGAAACATCCTTACATTAGATATGACTCTAACTTCCAAAGAGTAAATTAGATGTATACTTATAACCTTGGGAAGTTTATCATGGTAATGCTCTTAGGCATTTATAGTTTATTTATTTAAAAAATATTTTATTTAAAAACAGGGTGTGTATGTATAAGCATATTAAAATTTTTTTAAAAAGTTCACACAGAACAGTGGTTATAAATGAAGAATGGGTTAAAGCTGGCAGAAGGAGACTTTCATATTTTTATATAACTATTTTTTTAAAGAACAGTAGGATTGGAGTTTCCTGGGATATTTTAAATTAAAAAGATATCTATAAAAGAAATAATTCTGTTTCTTTAAGGAATTGAGAAATAATTTCAAGATATCTTAAAGGGTTTTTGCCAATACATTCAAAGATGTTTTCCTGGATTCCCTGCAAATATGTATATAATTTAATAGCCCTCATCCTTTCCTGTTACCCCTGCTTTCATTTGAAATAGAGACTCTAAACTTAAAAAAAAAAAATTAACTTCTTTACAATGCATATGAAACTAACTTGTAGCAATTCAAGAAAAAACATTTCTCTCAGAAAGGAATTTGTTTATGCCGCTGTGGGGCTGACTAGGCAAATTCAAATCTACAGGGCGTGCTGTAAGGGGAGGCAGGCTACAAACCCTTGGGCAGTCGCTGACACCAGAATTTTTTCTTCCTCAAGGAAACCTCAGTTCTGCCTTTCAAATGATTGGATCAGGCCCACCAAGATTATCAAAGATAATCTCCTTTACTTAAAGTCAACTGATTTGTAGCTGTTAATCACATCTACAAAATATCTTTACAGCAACACCTAGATTAGTGTTTGAATAACCGGGGACTACATCCTAGGGAAGTTGATACATAAAGTTGATGCCATGGCCCACCCTTTGTCAACTTGGCACCCATACTTAATCTGCAAATAAAGATAATGACAAGAAGCCTGAGCAAGAGTGAGACCCCCATCTCTACAAAAAAATTTTAAAAATTAGCCAGGTACGGTGGCACACACCTATAGTCCCAACTGCTTTGGAGGCTGCGGCAGGAAGATTGCTTGAGCCCAGAAATTTGAGGTTACGGTGAGCTATGATGAAACCACTGCACTCTGGCATTTCAACTTATTTAGTGTATGATGTCTTTTGGTCCATGTTTCACTCAACAAACCAAACTGTCAGACCTTTTTCTAACCCCTCAAGCTAAATCACTGAGTCCAGAGCCTCTGCTTGTGAGCCCATATCAATAGATTCAGCCTGCTCAAACTTTATATTTCTTCCGCCATAGCCCCACACCCTTATTGTTTGTTCTCACACATACTCCCCAGATTTATGTCTTTATAAACTGAAAAATCATGCAGTTCATGTGCTGTATAAAAACACATACTATTGGATTGCACTTGTATTTCACTCATATAGGGCTTGCTGGGATGTGAGTCTAGTTTTAGATCCAAAAGCAAAGGTGGGGATGCCAGTAGTAGGTCTTGAGGACTATCAGCAGTGCCTTGCAAGGCAACTGCCTCAGAAGAGGACATTATAGGTTCTTCAGGAAAAGCAGGGTTAACCTCTGTAGACAGGGGTTGTAGGGCTATTTCTGCTGGTAGAATTTAGGAGTTCAATGTCCCCAGCTTCACTGGGATCTTCCCAAATGTCCCCATTCCAATGATCAGGAACCAATTCCTTCCCAATCAATACCTTAATTTTAAAAGGAGACACCCAATGAAGTTGCGAATTCAATTTGCATTGTAATTTAGTCACTTGTGTAATGAGATTCTTGGTTTGGCTTTCAGAAATCCCAGCCCTACAGCTGCAGGAAATGAGGATTTCTTTCATGCCAGACCTAGAGACTTTGAGGTCATTTATACAGAGTTTGAGCCAGGAATTTAAAACCCTGAGCTCATCCTTTTATTTCCCCACTTTCTCCACTACAATTTGTAGCAACCAGCCAATCTCTTTATACTCTTTAGTTTGACTGAAATGTTCAAGGTATCAAATACATAGTCACCCAGAACCTCGCCTTCTGTAGATACTTGATTAGGAGTATCCAATGGTGATGTTTTGCATATCTCTATTGCTATATCACACTATGGATTACAAGTATGCTCTTTTCCACTGGAAACAGAGTCTTTAGTACTTTAAGTTTAATCAGATTAGAGAACCAATTCCAGAAAATCCTGAACCAAAATTAAGGAAAACTCATTCTTAAGATTCTATGCCTCTAGAAGCACGATAGGTACCAAAATCTGTATCATTCAGAGTTCCATGAGTCAGAGAAACAGTTATTTACTTATATATTTACTTACTTGTAATACTTATTTACTTATTTGTTTGCTTGCTTATTGTAAAGAATTGGCTTATGTGATTGGTCTCCAGAGAATAAACCTCTTATCTCACCTAGGGGTTTATGAGACAAGAGTCAATGAGATAGGAGTAGACATGGATGTAATTGTCTGAACATGCAAGTGAAGAAAAAAGTATTATGAAGAATATTGGGAAGTTAGAATCATTTTTTAAAAAGCAAGTTTTAAAAATTGTCTTAAAAATATAATACTCTGGTTTCCCTTTAGATTGTATAAATCCTTCACCTTTTAAAAATTGTCTTAAAAATATAGTTGCTTAGTAAAGTTTTAAAAATAGAGAAAAATACAAAGAAGAGAATAGAGATCACATACAAACCTAACACCAAGAAGTAACCATTATTAGTATATTGGTATACACCCCACCATATTGAGAATAATACAACAAACTTGTGCAGTAAAGGATTAACTTAATGGACTTGTAGTGTTTAAATCCTGCACATTCCAAAGAAAGAATAGGCCCTTCATTGGCTCGTAGGGGATAACCTATAAGCCTTTGGAACATTCTTCCTGATAAGAGTGTCTGAATACCTGAGGCATTGGGTCATGCTGAATAGTTTATGCTAACAATGTGATTTATGCCTGTTTTTGTTCACCTGGGTCCTGGGCTATGCTCTATCAGTTTGACCTGGGGTGGTGGGCGGGAGACTGAATAGCTAAAGTTGGTCATGTAGGTGCTGATCCTAGGCACCAAGGCTTGGGTTAGCTTCCTCTGTTGGCAATACTTTGCACATGTTGTCACACCTGTTTGCTGGGAGAATTAAGCATTGTCTGTATGACTCCACTGGAAGAGGACAACTGAAAGCTTGTGTCTGGTCACTCCTGGATTTTGCCTTATGTACCTTACATGTTTGATGGTTTGAGTCAGTGTCCTTGAGCTGTAATAAACCATAACCACGAGTATAACAGCTTTTGTGAGTCCTTATGAATCATGAAACCTCAGGGTAGTTTTAAGGATTCTCATCACAAATGTTAACATTTGCCATATATACTTTCAACCTTTTTTCTTTAAAGATATATTACAGAAACAGTTGAAGACCCCAGTATTTCCCATCTTGATTTCATTCTCTTCCCCCTAGCCATAATTCTGAGGTTAGTGAGAGTTCTTTGCTTCTGTTTCATATGTATATATGAAATTTTTATATATATACACATATATGTGTGTATGTGTGTGTGTGTGTGTGTATAAAAGACTGGGTCTCTCAATGTTACCCAAGCTGGACCCGAATTCCTAGACTCAAGGATTCTCCCACCTCAGCCTCCCAAATAGCTGGAACTACAGGTGTACATCACCACACTCAGCTGTTTCTTATATTTTTAATTCATATGCATATATTTATAAATAATATAAAGTATAATTTTGTATGTGTTTTTAAATATAAATGGGATCATACTGCAGCATGCGGTAGCCATGAAAATGCACCTCTGGGTCTCCGATTACGAGGAGTATAATCAACCAAGGACCCCAGCTACTGTGCTCTGAAATTCATAATCACATTTATGCTGAGGCCACATTTGCCAAGGGCGATGCCTAGCCAGTGACAAGCATGGCAGGAATACTAAAGCAGGCCTATTCTTGGGAAACAAGGGACTCCCCTGACAGGTGACATTGGCTCAAGGATGCCCTATCTTCCTTGCCAAACTT